ATTTTTGTGGACAGACGACGAGGTCGAGTTACTAAACGGAACAAATGAATAACTGCACAATGCCGCCTAAAACAGACAATAGTGCAAACAACGCTCCCATTTCTGTGTCCGTGTTGTTGTTTACAGTGAAGGCTGGTCTGCTGTCTTCCGGTAGCGTTAAAGCCATGTGTTATAGTCATGTGATAGGGGCTTGACGAATAAGGGGAGGATACACAATGACACAAAAGCCCCAATCAGGTAGCGAATCTCAGCAGCCCCGCCTCTGTTTTCAGATGTCTCCGTTTTCCCTCATCCACACTGAGACAGAGCAGCAGCGTTTCAGAATGAAAACGGCCTCTCCAGCGTTTCCAAAACGCTCCGTTTTCGGCGCTCGAAAACTCCGGTGTAGTGTGGACGGATGGCGTAACCGTAGCAAAACGTATGCGTTTTCAAACTGAAACGTGTTAGTGAGATGATGAGATGATGACAACCATAGAGGGCTTCCAAAAGTTCTCCATAATCCTGGACCAGGCCGTATCCTGAGCAGATGCTGTGGTGGTCATGGAGGAGTGGAGAGCATGAGACTGATTCCTGTAAGACCCCAGTGACAGACGACTCCCCGCAGTGATCTCAAGTGCCAGCCTGCACGGTAATCTACTCACACCTGCAGCTTCTCCACGATGGACGTCCAGTGCTCTCCTAGACTGCAGCTCTGCACAAGAAGTTTGGCTAGAGGAGAAATGGTCGTGCCCAACTGAGCCTGGTCTCTCTCAAGGTTTGTTCCTTCACTTTGGTCAATTGGTGAGGTTTGTTCCTCCACTGTCGCCACTGGCTTGCTTGGTTCGCCACTTTTGGAGCTGCGCATTAATGGATTTGCTCTTCAGTGTTTGGACTCTCAGCACTGAACATTAAACCACACTGAACAGAACTGAACTCTGAAAACCGGCCAGACACTGCTTCAGTTTACTAGAACTTCTGTGTTCGGCTGCTTTGACACAATCTACATTGTAAAATCGCTGGAGAAATAAAGATTAATTGAATTTATTTAATAACGAGATGATTTTTTTTTCATGCAAAGAGTATAATGAGTTCTAAGACAACGCAAGAGGTGTTTCCTCATGCGGCTTATACAAGGTTTTACTGGAAATGTGCGCAAGTGAATACTGCTGAGGTAGATGGATGAGCATGTGCTGCCATGAAACAAGATACCGAATGAGATGCTGCCAGAAGCTGCTGTCATGCTCTGCCAAAAAACCCAGACCAAGGGCACAGCGTCCCACCAGCCTCCATCATCCGCAGTCCAAACTGGAAGCTTATTTTCAATGTAGTTTTGAGAGCAAGACTCTCAATCGGAGTGTTGGTGTCCATGTAAATGCACTCAGTGTTTAATTTGGATCCACATTTCATTTACATTTAGTCATTTATCCAAAGCGACCTGCAAATGAGGACAAGGAAGCAATTTACACAACTATAAGAGCAACAATGAGTATGTGCTGTAGGCGAGATTCAGGTGTGTAAAGTGTAAGAAGCAAAACATTAGTAATGTAAGTTTTTATTTTTTTATTTTATTTTTTTTTAAATACAGTTAGCGGTGAAGCCAGAGAGGCAATTGCAGATTGGTAAGGAAAGTGGAGACTAAATAGTTGAGTTTGTAGTCGTTTCTTGAAGACAGCGATTGACTCTGCCGTTCTGATGCAGTTAGGGAGTTCATTCCACCAACTGGGCAGATTGAACGCGAGAGTTCGGTGATTTCTTCCCTCTTTGGGATGGAACCACGAGGCGACGTTCATTCACAGAACGCAAGTTTCTGGAGGGCACATACATCGGCAGAAGTGAGAGCAGATAAGAAGGAGCAAAGCCAGAAGTCGCTTTGTAAGCAAACATCAGAGCTTTGAATTTGATGCGAGCAGCAACTGGCAGCCAGTGCAAACGGATGAGCAGCAGAGTGACATGTGCTCTTTTAGCTTCATTAAAGACCACTCGTGCTGCTGCATTCTGGAGCAGCTGAAGAGGTTTGATAGAGTTAGCTGAGAGCCCGACTAGTAGAGAGTTGCAATAGTCCAGTCTGGAGAGAACAAGAGCTTGAACAAAGAGTTGAGCTGCATGTTCAGATAGGAAGGGTCGGACCTTTCTGATGTTATAGAGTACGAATCTGCAAGATTGAGCAGTTCTAGAAATGTGGTCAGAGAAGTTTAGTTGGTCATCAATCGGTACTCCAAGGCTTTTCACCATTTTGGATGCAGTAATTTTGCCGGCAGCTAGCTCTCTGCAACTCTCACATGGTCGCCCACTGAAGCTAAGCAGGGCTGCGCCTGGTCAGTACCTAAATGGGAGACCACATTGGAAAAGCTAGGTTGCTGCCGGAAGTGGTGTTAGTGAGGCCAGCAGGGGGCGCCCAACCTGCAGTCTGTGTGGGTCCTAATGCCCCAGTATAGTGACGGGGACTCTATACTGCTCAGTGAGCGCCGTCTTTCGGATGAGATGTTAAACCGAGGTCCTGACTCTCTGTGGTCGTTAAAAATCCCAGGTTGTCCTTTGAAAAAGAGTAGGGGTTTCACCCCGGCATCCTGGCCAAATCATCAGTCAATCATGGCCTCCTAACCCTCCCCATATCATAATTGTCTCCTCTCCACCAATCAGCTGGTGTGCGGTCTGGCGCAAAATAGCTGCCATCGTGTCATCCAGGTGGATGCTGCGCACTGCTGGTGGATGAGGAGATTTCCCCCCATTGTGTAAAGCGCTTTGAGTGCCCAGAAAAGCGCTATATAAATGTAAAGAATATTATTATTATTATTATTATTATTAATGGTTGCCCCATCCATGTGTATTGAAAAGTTTATTATTTCACATAATAAACATGACACTGAAAAGTTTCTAAGCTGCAAACTACACCAAACTAGGAAGGAATACGAGTGTTGTTGCTAATGAAAGTGTGGAAGTGAGTCTGTGCGGGTTTGCAGCGCTGTTTGTTTGTGTTGGTGGGAAATGGCTGGGGGCTGCAGGTATAAAAGCGCTTCAGATTTGGGGAGAGGGTTTGACAGCATGTTTTGGGACCGCGCACACACAGCTCCTCCTATTCAATTGAAAGACAACGGAGGTCTCTTGACAGAACGAAACCGCGCACAAAAAAATGTTTACATCCTGCAAACACTGCGATTGCGACGGCAACAAAAACAGCAAATCATATCAATCACGCATCTTTTGATCACACTTTGTTTGCACTTTTTGTCATATTGTAAGTGGGGAATTTAACTTGGGGGGGTGAGTCCCAATATTTAGAGACACTTCTCAACATGTAAAGAGGCTTTATAGACATTGTGAGCACAAGTATTGCTGGTATGAAGATCATAACAGAGCGCTACTGAAGCTCTGGTGCTAATGAATACATGCAAATGAGGCCTGTGCTGATTTTGGGAAGCCTGAAAGAGTGCCTGCCCACATAGCAAAATTTCTCTGGCCCACACAATCAGGTTTTGCTTGGCCCACATGCCGCAGTGAATTACAGTACATGACTGGACCAAATCTGGCTTCCAGACGAGGGCCAAACACAGACCATATCTGGGCCAAGTCTCAGCCAAGTTAATAACTCATAACTGGGCCTGAACTGGGCCAGATAGGTTGGTGTGTCACGATTGCAATGAAATTGATAAACGCATGGAGTGATGCGCTTTAGGCACACTATGGGCACGCTTTTTCTCAAAGTGACCTGATTGGTAGAATTTTTTTTCTTTACTCAAAAATGATTTTAGTGTATTTTAAATGTGGGTCAAGACTGGCCAAACTCACATGGCCCACTTATCAAATTTGTAAATCTGGGCCAAATACTACGTTTTTCATCTGGCCCAAATCTTGTGTGCCGCCTTAAAGACGGTGCCACCTCTGCCAAACCCGGGCCATGTTTGGCCCACATGCTGTATGCCAGTGCCGGATGAATGCCTGCTGTGCCAGCTTTATGCCAAATCTGGGCCAGAATTCTTTGCTACTAGGGTGTGCATTCACACACCGAGTTTGGTTCTGATACATTACTTATGGGTCCAATACAAAATGTTTGAACACTTTGGTTGCTGAATGATGCAGTATTTTAGTTATATGTACACACACACACACACACACACACACACACACACACACACACACACACACACACACACACACACAAAAAAATGGCTATTTTAACCCAATTTTCAATACAATATGGACAAAACCGGCCCACTGGTTTAACTTTATAACATTAAATTTATAGGACCAAATTTAAAAGTTTTGACCCAACATTGGGTTACAATAACCCAATTTTTTTTATTTCTAAAATTTGAATTCTTTTTCCTTTGTTGTGTCAAAAGCTGTTAAATTTGGTCATATACACTAAAAAAATGTAACCTAATGTTTTTTTGTGTGTGCATATTTCACCCAAAATTTGGTTGAAATACACTCACCGGCCACTTTATTAGGTACACCTTACTAGTACCATGTTGGACCCCTTTTGCCTTCAGAACTGCCTTAATCCTTCGTGGCGTAGATTCACCAAGCTAGAGATTTTGCTCCATATTGACATGATAGCATCACGCAGTTGCTGCAGATTTCCAGTCCCTTCTTGAATCTCTGCCACGAAGGATTAGGGTGGTTCTGAAGACAAAAGAGGGTCCAACCCAGTACTAATAAGGTGTACCTAATAAAGTGGCCGGTGAGTGAATATAGATACACAGGAATTCCTCCAGCAGGGGGAGCAGTCCTCCTTCATTAACCCCAGCAGCAGCAGCAGCAGCTCCGGATCCGGCGACTCCCAGATCCAGGCTCCGGATCTTGCGGACGCCCCGCGGATTTTAATCATGCCTCTCTGTCAGTGTTTGAGAGCAGCAGGCTGACAATGATTTCCTCCGTGATTACGCACAGGGCGCGTCCCCGCGGGGATGGGGCCCCCTCTGGAGCCGTCCTCATGGCTTTGGGGGCCTCGCTTCCATTTTCCATTATTATGTGGACTACCGGAGCGACAGCGCAGAGCGAGACCTCGCAGGTTGGTGATGAGGAGGGAGCTCGCATGCTCCTCTCCGACTCTTCTTTATAAAAACAGACTCAATCCTCAATCTCTGATCTAAAGAGAAAATCTGACACTCTCAATTAGACTCCAGCGCGTGCATCTAAACGGAAATAACCATCATTTTACTTAGATTTTTTGTTGTTATTTTCATTTTTGCGCGGTGCGTAATTCCATTATATGACTGATTAAATCAAACATGCATGTGCATTTAAAGACATTTTAAACTCAGAACTGACAACCAATAGGATGCTATGATTTTTTTTGTATTGTTATCATCATTAGGTTGACGTTAGGCTTTGATTCCTCGAATGCGTAATATCATCACATATAGATATATTTGCATGATCTTCTCCGGCGGGTTATTCTTTCGTAGGATATGTCGCGGCGCAAACAAGCCAAACCAAGAGCTCTGAAAGGTAAGTGATCCTCCATATATGATTAGCAGGCTTTCAAGAACGCAAAGCTGATCATTTGTGAGCTTTCCGATGCTGTGTGTGTGCATGCGTATTTGCCAAACACCAAAGTGCGCAAATTTAGGGTTGCTTTGGACGCGCGTTTTCCCGAAGGTTTGCTTTATATGATGCATGGCAGTATTTACTGAGGTCGGACTGTGTTAAGGTCTCGTTGGACAGTTCAATGGCGATATAGTGATGGTATGCAATCTGGATGTTAAATTGGCGTGCAAGTTTGGAGTGACGGATCACGTGACCGTGCAAGCTCTTCTCTAGGACGAGTATTATAAACATTAAGACTTTTGACTAGTAGCCAGCTGTCCTCATGCTGATGCGATGTGTGTTTGCAGTACTTTCAAGGCGGATTGTGGTTTTGGTGGATAGTTTTGGAAGTCAGTCGTGCCAGTCTGTCGCATTGGATTTAATAATTTACATTTGCAGGAAGACTGCTTTAGGCTACAGTAGGGACGTAGATATATATATATATATATATATATATATATATATATATATATATATATATATATATATATATATATATATAGTTGGAGTCAGAATTATTAGCCCCCTTCGATTTTTGTTTTCTTCTTTTTTCAATATTTTGCAAATGATGTTTAACAGATTGAGGAAATTTTCACCGTATGTCTGAAAATATTTTTTCTTCTGGAGAAAGTCTTATTTGTTTTATTTGGGCTACAATAAAAGCAGTTTTTAATTTTTTAATCACTATTTTAGGGTCAATATTAGCCCCTTCAAGCTATACTTTTTGATAGTCTACAGAACAAACCATTATTATACAGTAACTTGCCTAGTTACCCTAACTTTACCCTAATTACCCTGTTAAACCTTAAATGTCACTTTAAGCTTTATAGAAGTGTCTTGAAGAACATCTAGTTAAATATTATTCACTGTAATCATGTCAAAGATTGGTTAAATCGGTGATTAGAGATGAGTTATTAAAACTATTATGATTAGAAATGTGTTGAAAAAAATCAGCTCTCCGTTAAACAGAAATTGGGGAAAAATAAACAAGCGGTGTATTAGTTCAGGGGGGCTAATAATTCTGTCTTCAACTGTATATATCTTTTTGTTGTATTATCATTATCATAACAATTATCATTGTTTTTCATTTACTGCATTGATTTTGTCTATATATTGTAAATGAATTATAATTCTAATTAATTTTGAATGAGCACATTCATGAGCATCAGCGCAAAATTACACTACTGCTAACCCACATTATATTAAATATTGTGTTTTTAATTGTGTTTTTTATATTGTAAGATGACTTCAGCACATTTGATTTGAGATTTTAACATTTTATTTTATTAAATTGAATTACTTTTAATTTATTATTATGATTAATAATGGCTGCATGGTGGCACAGTGGGTAACATGTTCGCCTCACAACAAGAAGGTCGCTGGTTCGAGCCTCGGCTGGGTCAGTTGGCGTTTCTGTGTGGAGTTTGCATGCTCTCCCCGTGTTGGTGTGGGTTTCCTCCAGATTCTCCGGTTTCCCCCACAGTCCAAACACATGCGCTATAGGGGAGTTGAATAAACTAAAGATTGTCCATAGTGTATGTTTGTATGGATGTTTCCCAGTGATGGGTTGCAGCTGTAAGAACATCCGCAAAGTAAAACATGTGGTGGATAAGTTGGCGGTTAATTCGACCCCAGATTAATAAAGTGACTAAGCCGAAAAGAAAATAAACTATTATTATTATCAATATTATTATTATTATTAATAATATATATATATATATATATATATATATGGGCGAAGCTGTGGCGCAGTAGGTAGTACTGTTGCCTCACAGCAAGAAGGTCACTGGTTCGAGCCTCGGCTCAGTTGCCGTTTCTGTGTGGAGTTTGCATCTTCTCCCTGCGTTAGCATGGGTTTCCTCCGATTGCTTCGGTTTTCCCCACAGTCCAAAGACATGGTACAGGTGAATTGGGTAGGCTAAATTGTCCGTAGTGTATGAGTGTGTGGGTTGCGGCTGGAAGGGCATCTGCTGCATAAAAACATGTTGGATAAGTTGGCGGTTCATTCCGCTGCGGCGACCCCAGGTTAATAAAGGGACTAAGCCAACAAGAAAATGAATATATATATATATATATATATATATATATATATATATATATATATATATATATATATATATATATATATATATATATATATATATATATATATATATATATTTTTTTTTTTTTTTTTTTTTTAATGATGCATTTTTCTCATTATCACATGTATCTCCATCATAGATGGCACAAAATCTCATCTCAATATTTGTAATTAATAAATTGGTTTGATTATTATTTATGCAATTTGTCTGAATATTAACATGCTGTCAAAACATTATTATTATTATTATTATTATTGTTATTATTACTACTATGATTATTTTTTATTATTATTTATTATTATTATTATTATTATTATTATTATTATCAATATTATTATTACTATGAATATTTATTATTATTATTACTATGATTATTTTTTTATTTATTATTATTATTATTATTATTATTATTATTATTATTATTATTATTATTATTATTATTATTATTACCATTACCTAATGATGTTGTAGCCTATTATTATCTAATAGTTGTAGCCTCATTAAATAAACAACAGACCATTAATTCACAGCATGACTCAAGATGCGACTTGCATATAAGTATGGGCTTTTAAATGTTTATATATTCATTTACATGCAAACATAGGTTACAGAATAAACTCAGATGCATCTTCTTTACCTGGATTCTGCGTCGTCTGTCGTTGGTTATTCAATCTAGATCATCAAAACTTTTCATATATATAAAAAAAGTAACTATTGTTGACCAAAGCAAAGTGTATTTTCTTTGTGCTACGTCAACTAAACGAATAACAGGTGGCTGATACACGCAGTAATGTTTAAAAGCACATGCACATTGGTGCTATAATTGAACTTGCCTGTTTTATTCAGTAAAGTGCTGGCATTTATTTCTGTAATTACCTTTATGATTACGCTAAACACTTCTAGCCCTTAATTTACATGTACCCTTACACAAAACACAATGGAGTCTACCAAACACTACATATTGTGTGACAGGTTAGACACCCGTTCATTTTCCTTTAGCTTAGTACATTAATAATCAGGGAACGCCACAGCGGAATGAACCGACAACTATTATTTAGCATATGTTTTACACAGCGGATGCCCTTCCAGATACAGTACAAGGAAATTCATTAGATTAAAATAATTATCAAATGGTGGCTCAGTGGCCTCACAGCAAGAAGGTTGCTGGTTTGAGTCCTGGCTGGGTCAGTTGGCGTTTCTGTGTGGAGTTTGCATGTTCTCCTTGTGTTGGCGTGGGTTTCCTCTGGTTTCCTCCACAGTCCAAACAAATGCGCTGTAGGGGAATTAAATAAGCTAAACTGGCCGTCGTGTATAAGTGTGTGTGTGAGTGTGTATAGGTGTTTCCTAGTACCTGGTTGCTGCTGGAAGGGCATCCGCTGCGTAAAACATATGCTGGAATAGTTGGTGGTTCATTCCGCTGTGGCCATCCCTGATAAATAAGAGACATAAGCTGAAGCAAAATGAATGGATGAAAGTGAAATATGTAGATTTCTAAAATTGTCCAGCAGTGGAGATGTTATTGTGTGTGTGTGTACCTTGTATTCCTCACATCATGGGGACCAAATGTCCCTACAAGTGTAGCCAAACCAGTAAATTGTGACCATTTTTTTGACAGAATGAAGTATTTTAAAATGGTAAAAGTGCAGATTGTTTCCTGTGAGGGTTTGGTTTTGGGGTGGAGGAGAGAATATATACAGTAGAAACATCATGATGTCTATGAGAGGTCCCCATAAAGCACAATATATGGTTTCAGCGTTGATATCGCAATATGTGTGGCTGCAATAGTTAAATCGCAGGATATATGCAGTGTTGAGTCGGAGTATAATCATAACAGAGTGAAGTTTTTATCATTTGCATGTGTTTTAAAGGCATTTCAAGAGAGCTTAAAGGGCACAGGACAGAACTGTGTGCAGGTATAGTGTGTTTACAGTCCTACTGGAGTGATATAAACACAATAAGTCTCTTTTTTTTTAATTACTTGAAGTTAAAATAGGATTCAAATCCCTCCTTTTTTGAGGCAGACTGCAACTTGACGTTGGAGTGCGGTTTCCCTGCTCCAGCATGAATTGACAGCCGCGTATTAACATGTCTCTGTAGTAGCGTGTATAATTATATCAACAAGACTGGAAGTGCGCAAAGCAACTGGGATTAAAAGATCTGTTCGGCTCTCTGTGATCATCAATCATCATCGAACGAGTCTTACAAGTTTAACATGTTTAAAACAGTGCATGTGTGTAATGAATTACTGCGATTTTACCATCTTCATCAGCACAGCCGCATAGTGTCCTTACAATTATAAAGGAAGACGCTTCAATCCTGATTTGTTGACGTTAAATCAGGTTTATTTTGCATATTAACATAACGGATATCCATAAAGCAGTGCATATTAACCTGTATCCTGTCACATTTGCGTGAAATAACATTGCAAAGTTAAACGCTTGCGCTGTCTGTGTGTGTGTGTGCGTGCTTGAACTTTGTATTGACATTATGCGAGTCTCATCGTTGCAGAAAGGCTTGACTTAACTCCACAACAAATACATCAAATAATCATTGGGAAAGTTCTTACTCTAGTATTCCTCTCAAGCGTTACATGAGATCTGCTTCCTTTATGTCTGTCACTGTGCTGTTTATCTGACGCAGCCGAGGTGGAGATAGAGGCACACTCTGACAGGCATGTGGAGACGGTGGGCGGGGAGTACAAGCATTAAAGGCACAGGCCACAAAAACAGCTACTGTGCGTTCAGAGCAGCGAATTCAACATTCTGAAAGCTCTAATAAATAATCTGAGTGTTTTGAGCTGAAACTTTACACATTCTGGAGACACGAAAGACTTCTGAT